CACAATTCATTATTCATGACATGCATTTTCTGTCAAAAACCAGGGGATTTGGAGCGATACTGACCTATGACCTTCCCAAATAGCAGGGAAGAATAATTCATAAGGGGCGAAAATGGAAGCAAGATGAGCCATCTGAGGCCTGGGCACGATTACTGTCCAGGGGGACCTTCCCTGTTCCCTGAGGAGTCTCAGTTACAAACTGCTCCTCTGCACCCGTAACCTAATTCGGCTTCAGCTCGATCACAGGCCTGCAGCACTACTTACATCTTCAATAAAAATCCATTTTCTCAGCATGATAGGACATTCTACATGATGGACAGACACTATTACCTTTTAGATGGAGGTTTTACGTTTAATGAGTGACATTCAGCATGCAACAAAAGCATACAAGAAGTAAATTTGGCTGCAAGCGAAATGAAGATCCCAGCATTGTGTCTTGGAAAAGAAATGCTTTGTACCCTGGCAATGATGGTCTTCCAGTCACTATTTTATTCAGCTGAGGTGTCTTGAAGTTGATTCTTCTGCCTTTGAGTATCCCCAGGTTTGCAGTCAATGAAGATATTTTTTAGACCATCACTCATTTCAAAATGCATCTTGGGTTTTGGGGAACAGCAGAGTTTTTTCTGCTTAAAGAACAACAAACATACTATGGAAGGCCTGTAGTCTTCAATTATTAGATTAATGATATCCAGAAGTGCTTTCAATATGTGTGATTTCATACTCTGGCCTACATGTCAGTGCTCAGTATGCATAAATCTGTGCCCTCCTGGAGAAGAAGGAGGTTTATAATAGTCTAACAACTCATAAAAACAAAAAACATGTCAGCTCAGCATGAAAGTCTGGTTTCAATTCACAAAAATTGACAAAAGCCACAGAAATATAGTACCATGTATGAAGTAACTTCTAAGGGACAGAATATATTCCACATTTACTGAAACATCTAAAATTTGCACCTAAATTTTAAGTTCCTACAATAAGAAGCCCTCTGTGTGTCTGTTTCTTTTCATGTCAGCAGAGGGAAAGCAGGTGCCCCAAATGTAGGTGCCTCGGGTCTACAAGGAAAAGGGATGCTTGTTTTAAAAATACAGTTTTGCTGGGCACCAGCTGGTTGCCTGAGGTAGGGGACTGGATGCCATTCAAGCACTCCTGTAATTTAATTTTGCTTGTTCAAAGGACAGGCTATAGAAAAACCACGTCAAACTTTTTAAAAATGTAGAAGCCCCCCGCAAGCTAAATACCAATCCTGATGTGCACCAGAGAAGCTCATACCTACTAAACTGAACAAAATTCCTTTATTTCTTTTTAGGAGGAGATCTGTTAAATAAACTACGATAAAGAGCCTGGAAATTTCAAGGACATGATATAAAGACACAAGAAACCAAATTTGAATTCTAATGGGGAAAGGAAAGGCATAAATTTGCTAGAGAGTCAGCACTGAAACTGTAAATTTGCTGTTTCCCCTGTAAGAAATATGCTTTGGCTGACTTTGCTGCTGCAAACTAGCAAGGGCCTGAGATAGTTACAGAGGGAACCACTCAAGGACTGTGATGAGGACTTGCAGGGCAGAGAGGTTCCTCCTAAGGGAGGAAAGCAAAGGTGAGACACATTCTTGTGGCAGGACTCACCGGTAATTTTGGCAGCTACACACACACAGCCTTCCCACTAACATGCCCACGCTCTCAGCAACGCCCCTGA